TATAAATCTATTTATAGCAATGGAGCCAGGGTATTAAGTAAACATGTATTAACGAGTTATAAATTTAATCCTAAAATAAACATATGATTAAAAAGGAGAAAAAACCCTCCACTTCTATAATTTTTGAAAAAATATGTTATTTTTTTAAAAAATTTATCGGTGTTAAAAAGGTTTGGTGTGCAAAAGGTTAGAAAATTATAACAGACATAAAAATAAATAAACAATTACAAATTTCGAACAAAACACAAGGTAAAAGAAATCGGAAAAAATATTAATACTTATAATAAAAATTAAGCAAATTGATGAGAAAAATTTTTCGTTAGTTAATAGTTTGAGAATTGTAAACCTATAAAATAATAAGATAAAATGAAATTGGCTTGGATAAATGAGATAAAAGTAAATAGGCAAAAGTAAATGGGAAGAAAAATAATGGTCACGATTTTTCACGTAAATAAGCAGTCAAGATCTGCGATGTCCCATGGGATAAAGCTTTCACCTTCCATTGAGGTGAACTGGATTCGAACCCTAGGGATGACTGGTTGATGCAAATTCCGGATCCGGATTGCACTGACTACAGTGCTAACGTAAAATATACTCAGTGGTAGATAGGTTATGTCCTTTTGTCATCAGGCTAACCGTGTGAGGCTCTTATGGCCTTCTCCGTGTAACGCAAACGAGGGGTTAGTTCCATCAAAAAGTTCTCCACGAAGAAAAATTTCTCCCAATACTTGATCCAGGAGTTCCCTTGTCTTCTGGATTGGGTTCAAAATTACAAGGCTACGTAGTTGAACACTAGTAGTCGTAAACCCAAAAATTGGGTCGGCTGTTCAACGACGGTTATAAAATCAAATAAATGGTCAAAAAGTGTTAGCAACTAAGAAATCAATCCAAGAAGCGTTAGAAACCTTTTCTACAGTTTTAGTGTTAGAACTCTTTTCTATACATTTTTAATGTTAGAAACCTTTTCTATTCACAACCTTTTCTACCGAACAGGTCTTGCAATCAATGTGTAACGTCAAAAATGTTCAAAGTAAATAAAAAAATAAAGTATTTAAATTGTAAAAAAGTAAACATTATAAAGTGATAATAATTATTATAAAAATTTAAACAAACAAACGTAAAATAATCGTCGCTATATATTGCTATATCTTAGCAACATGAAAATTGCAACTCAAATAATAATAATTAAAAATTTAAAAATGCAATGGATTTAGTTTAAAAGAATGCAATACTGCATAAAAGCTTTCCGCTCAGAAACTTAAATCGACGCCTGAATCATTTTAGCTGTGAAAATTCAATCAAAAACTGCAAGTTAAAAAAAGTAAAAAAAAAGACAAGATTTTTCACGTCAAAAAGTAGTCAAGAAAAGCGTTAGCTGGTAGGAAATGAAATACCCGAGGAATGTTAGAAAAGCATTTATCCACAACCTTTTCTACCTGACAAGTCTTGATGTCGAAATCGCGTGTGAATTGTCACGGAATGTGAGAGGAAAAGGGTTGGCGAAATGCTTGGGCAGTGAATCGGTTTGAAGGTTCGATTGGCCATAACCGAAGATAGATGTTGTAGTAATGAATAGGTTACGATTTGACGGCAGAAATCAATGGTGGAAGGAATTGATTGGCTGACGATTTCAATAAAGCTGACGAGTAAATGACTGGAAGAAGTTTCTATTTGGTTGTCCCATTTTTTACTTTCGGATGTATTTCGAAACAAAAATATGGTTGCTACGTGATTTCGAGTTCGTCAATAAAGACTTTGACGAATGCGGGAATTAAAATGTTGTTATATGTAGACATTTCAGTAGTTATCTTCTTTTTAGCTGTAAGGAAATGAGTGATTTATGTTCATTTATTGTGCACGGTTACGTTTATATACTTATGTGTAATGTATGAGTGTATTGCATAAAGATTTATATTTATGCGCGTAGATACTAGTGCATTTGTTAATATTTTGAATTTTATCATGATTGGTTTATGGGTAATCTAATCTCAGCTTTAATTGAATCGACTGAACAGTATAATTATCGAAGTACTTGGGGAAAACCAAGTTTTAGTTTGAATCGGAATTTGCAATTTTTTTTAACACATTTATTTACGAATACCAATGCATTTATTTGATACCAAGATTATTTGAATTTAATATTTATTTATTTATTATTTACTTATTAATCATTTATTTTTATTTATTTATTTTTGAAATTCTTAATGGTGGCATGGAAATTAGATGACATCATGGGCAAAAGGACCACGCTTTTTGAAAATCTTTCTCTCGTGCAGTATAAATAATTCCTGTTTTTTATTTTAATTGCTCTCTCTCTCTCTGTATACCTGTTGTACCTGTACAGAGGTTAATAGATTTAAATAACATAACTGAGGGGCTCAGTATGACAACCAGTTGATTCCCTTCGCCTTCAAAAAAAATAATTATAATAATGCATTTTTGCCAGTGAATATAATACCTTCTTCCATTAACCTTAAGAGCCTACCACAAATTAAGTCTCTTATGCATGCATTAATGTTACAGAAAATTTAAAAAATCGATCTTTGATTAAATCGTTGTAGATCCCTAAAGTGAGTAAACCCTAAAGTGAGGGAATCGAATCCCACAATTATTTTAGTAAAATAATGAAATAATATAGTTTAGATGCCACGTTCAATGTAGTTAATCGGCTAATTTTATTAATCGACAATTAAACCTAATAATAACCAAGTTAGTAAAAGTGAATTATCTATTAAAATTTATCTATTAGTCAATAATCTATAATTATTTAGTTTATCTCGTATTAATAATTCCCAATGAAGTATGGTGAATGTAATAGTTTTCCACTCATTTGACCAGACATTTTCTGTGCGCATTTGAATGGTAATTTGCCTTGCAAACGGCTGGACAATATCAGTTTTATCAATTTTCTTTTCTTCTGGTTTTGACTTTGAATGCAAATAATCGTGTTTTGTATGCGTTGTTCTTTTGCAGTGCAAATACTTTGTGCTAGGTTAGGAATCTATTTTGTATTGTTTTTACGTTTTTTTTCCTTGCTAAAACACTAAACCTTATAAAAAATTAAAAAAACTGATAAGATTTCCGGACAAAAGCATAACAGACAATAGCAATTAACCTTAAATAACAGCAGAGTAGGTTATACCAGGAAGTGACACTTAACCTTAAAAGAAAACATCAGTGTAAGATATACCAGGTAGTGCTATTTAACCTTATAAAAGAAACAGTGTAGTGTAAACCGGGCAGTGGCACTCACATACCTTGATTAAACCAATTATTAAAAATAAACATCGATTCTTATCAATAGCTACATTCCATTCACTAATATTTTCATTTATAAACGACATTAAAATTTATTAGCTCAAGATTTTAAAAATTTCAGTTCATCAAATATAAGGTACTTAATTACACAAAAACTGTTTATATAACAATATTATTTTTGAACAATTGAGCTTTCCACTTACCCTGATCGTGTTGTGATCATGTTTTTTAACCGTTTCTTAGCAATCAAGCATTTTAAAACCTGGTAAATGGTATGTAAAATAACTATAACAACAATGAAAAATTATTCACATTATTTCCTTATAACTTAATTAATTTTTTGTTTATTCTTTTTATTTGAACTCGTTTCAACAGTTTTGCTCGACTATTTCAATTAATATTTCATCTTTACAAAAACATTCACTCTTCTAGACTCATTGCAAACGCCCTCAAGTAAATCAGGCTAAGTTAGCTATAACAGTTCTCATAAGTTTCTAGGTTCAAAGCGATAAGCCTGAAAATGTCAGACTGAATATAAAATACTATTGACTTTTTCAATTATTTCGCACATGCAAATTAAATACCTACAAGGACTAGTCGATTCATCCTCCGTGGTAGGAAGATCAAAAGTTAGACCAAAATTATCAAGAAACATAGGTTTTTTCTTCTTGCCATTTACATGGGAGATTTTCGTGGATTTCCTTTTCGAGTTGCACAAATATGGTTTAGTTCCATAAGGAAGGTAACCACAAAGGCTAGTTTGCTCAAAAGTTTGAGCCGAATTACGAAGATTTATTCAAAATTGCAAGGCTTATTACTTATCAATAATAGTCATTAACCCAAACTAATCGACTGTTCAACACTGATTATAAAATAAAATGTCTGACATATGTATGTAATAGAGCATCCAAAACTTTTTTTTTGGTCTGAAGATGTAACAATAGATCAAATATTCCTTTTTAGTACAATCTGAACTTCCGTTTAATGTAAACTCTGCTTTTTCGTCAAACGGAATTTTTTCAGTCAACTTTCTGTACTTTTCCACGTTCTCTACTGTTCTTATAGCCAACTTTCTGCACTTTTCTTAGAAACAACTTTCTGTACTTTTATTATAGTCAACTTTCTGGTTACTTTTCTTGCAGTTAACTTTCTGTACTGTTTTTTTTCTCTATTGTTCTTATAGACAACTTTCTGTACTTTTCTAGCAGCAAATTTTCTGTATAATTCTATAACCAAATTTCTACAGTGGGAATGGTGCGATAATTTAGAGGCCGATGCACACTTATGCAATATCCAGGGAATAACTAAATTTCAAAAAATTTTAATATTTTAAACTTAAGAATAAACAGCAGATTTTTTTCTCGTTTGTACCTAAAATTGTCCTGTTTTAAAAATAACTTCACAAATAAATTCCTTTTTTTCAGCTACCGAAAATATTCGGGGTTTATTATTCATTAAATATTTTTTGTCTTCACTTTAATCAGAGATGAAAAGAAATTGATTTAAAATCGAGAAATTTGGAGATTCGTTTTATCAGGAGTGATGGTTGCATATTGTTTAAAAAAAACAATGAATAACGAGACTGTATAAACACATTTATCATTATGAATTATATACCTCCTTCGTGACACTTTATATTATAAGCGTTAATTAAAGATTAAATATGCTGTTTACTTCCTGTATTTCATTTATTATTAAAATTTGCATTTATTCTGAAGAATAAAAATAAGCAAGTAATAATACTTAAAAACTATTTTAGAACCAACAATCTATTTAGTCATTTATCCAATAGCATATCACGGCCTAAAAAATAGATTTGTGCAAACGATCGAACTACTTGAGAAAGTGAACAATGGAAATATACATATTTTTTTATTTTTGATAAACAAAATTATTGCACGAGAGGCATTGTTATTAGAGTTATGTTTTCATCACATCGTTACCATAGCAACAGACAACGCTTACTGGTCGAAATGGCGTGAATATAGTCAGAGAAATGCTTATTTTGAAATGGGTGCATGTTGTCAAACTATGGAAGATGAGAATTCAGGTAGATATATATAAATTTTAGTAATATACTGAATTTCTTAAAGCTTATAATTTCGTCATTGCAAATAATAACGTACATTAAAAGCGAATGAAGTAATGCAATTTTTGAATTTTCTTTTTGAAAACATCATGCAAACTGCAGATTTTATATGCGTTAAACAAACTATTGAGTATAAATTTAAAGAAAGCAAATACTATGATTTATGGTATTTCAAACTTGATTAAAGTTTTCGATAGAATTATGATTGGGTAAAGTGATTTATGTAGCCAGAAATACTTTAAGTTCTTTTTAATTGAAAACAAAATATATTATTTTGAGTGGAACTGAAAAATTCAGTGATTAATAATTGAAAATTTTTTCCCACACTGTAGAATTTTCGGATGAAATTACGATTTTACCCCCATTTGATGGTACTTTCTGCCGTAAAATCTATTTTTACTGCTGTTAAGTTATAGGAAGCAAAAATCCAATCTACCGTAATTTTAGTCATATTTTCTGCAAAACCACTGAATCACTGTAATTAAATAAATATAACTTAAATAAAAATAACGGTATAAAATTTCATGGTGAAAAAGGATTTTACGGATGCTGCACTCAAGATTCCAATGCTTTTTTTCTCCAGAATTTGATCCAGAATTTTTCACAGTGTTGGTAAAAACTGATGATACACACATTATATTTTTTTATAAAATTTTCAAACTATCTAGACCTCAATTATTTTTCATTTTATTAAAATAGTTTTTATTAAAATACCCTTTTTTTAATTAATTTTTCTATGATTAAGAAGAGATAATACAGAAATTAAATAATAATAATAGTAATAACCGGAAGGGAGATAGCAAAATATGGAATTTCAGAAAGGAACTGCTAAATTCAGAAATACAAATTAAGCGAGCTTAAATTGTATTTTAGGAAAAACATTGTTTAAGACAAAGATTTCTTTGGAAACAAAATTCCTAGTGTAGTTTTAAAACCAATGAATTAAAATGGAAAGTTGAAACCTTAAATAAAATTGAAAATCATATCGATATTTTTCGTCAAAATCTGAATGCATGAATATATAAATTATTCATCTGAATAATAGTTTAAATATCTATAATTTTGCGCATACTGGTTCAGAAAATTAATCTGATAAATAAAGAAAATTGCCTTAAAAATAATGTAGATTTTATTATAAATTCAACATTTGCTAGCAATAGAAACGGAATTAACTATACTAGACTGCATTGTTAAGAGGAAGCCATGTATAGCTGCATAAACTTTTCATGGCAAATTTTATTTTGCCTCTACTATTATTTAAAATTTTAAATTTAAAGATACGATAGTTCAGGCAAGTCCAGAGTAAGCAAAAATTTTCAAATGCTGTAAAACTGCGAAGTTTGAAAAGGAAAGCAAATTATTGCAGATTAACTTCCTCACTGCATAATCATAAGTAATATTTCCGTGATTTGATATAAGTATTCTGAATTTTTTCTCTCCATCAATTGAAACTTCCTGGTTTACTTTAGACCATCCAGAACTCACTTTTCTATAAAATTAAAATGTTAAATTACCAATGGATGCGAATAGAATTTTTCATAAAGTGTTTCTCCCTTGTATAGTGTCTTCTTAAGCTGTTCCAAAATAGTAATGTTTGAGTATACAATGAGGATCTGAACTTTGAAAGATTAAAACTTTGGGATTGAAACTTTTAAAGTTTCTTGTGGGGAATTTTTTTTATACAAAAAGTGTTACTTGTTATTCCCCTCTCTTAACTAAAATATAGGTTTTGTCGTTTTAGGGGCAATGATAAATTTACAAATAAGTAATTCGGATGTTGAAGGATATCATTTGATGGTTGCTTTTGCGCATTGGTTGCAAACAATCTAATTTAGATATGCATTTTGTGGCATTAAATATGAGACAGAATGGTAAAAATTTTATGACTTTTTCCATTAAGCATCAATTTATGATTAAACAAAGTACATTGTTTTTTAAAAGTGTTGTAAAAAGTATTTAGACATTAAGCATCGCAAATAGTTGGAGAAACTTATATAAGTTGATTACATTTTGGTTAAAATGGACTTGCTTAATGAAAAATAACTTGAGAACCTCTCTTCTCTTCATTGAACTTTACTGTATATGGGAAGGGAATATTCTAAATACGATTTTAATCATCATAATTTTCATTAAAAAAAGGTAAATTTTACTTTATTTGGCAGTATCTTTCAATGCAGGTAAATTCGAGGCAGTCACCCAATCAGAAACTTGAAATATAAAACGTGCAATAATTTAGATTCGCTTTTAATTTCTGAAAAAATTTCAACAATGCAGTTCTGCAATCATCAGTTTTTAAATAATAGTTAAACAGTATAAATTTACCTGTTTTTTATTCTTTTTTACCATTTTTTGTCATATGCATAGGGAAATAGAAATGTTACGTTAAAATATTTTAGATATTGAGTTTGGCTTACAAAATGAATTTCGTTTGTTTTATAATCTGAAATTAATTTAATTTTTAATATCATTTTTTGTTGTAGATGGGTTGTATTTTAAAAATATTACTTAATATAGAGAATTATCAACCAATTTGAACTTCTGTGCTTATAAATAACTGCATTTATATATTATTCTGCGTTTATAACCATAAACTCGACGAGCAGTAATTGGATGAGCGGATGCTGAGCGCACAAATCAAAATATTTTACCTGTGTTAGCCTTTCTCCTTGACCCCAGGCTAACCTTTAAGAACCTTGATGGGTCATTTCTTTGTATTTTCTAGAGTTATCATCAGATGATCGAACGAGTCATAAACGGTAAAATAGCTTTCAATCAATATTAAAAAATAAATAAAATTGGTGAGAAGTACACTTTCCAAGGTCTTCCAATCGTAATCAGATAATTCCTTTAATAAAATTCATTAATTCAAATTGATTATTAAAACTAATTTATAAAAAAATAATTCTACTTAAAAATATATTTTAATAATTATTCATATATTTTTTTAATTTGCTTTAATAATCGAAATTTTTTTTTAAAGTTTTGAATCATAAAATTTTTACATCATTTTTAACCATGCAATTTTAACGAATCTAACAGTACAACAGAAACGGTAGAATAAATACTGAGATATGATAATTTAAAATTAGAACTTTTATTGATCTATTCAGTGTATATAAGGTGAAATTTACGTTTGAGGGCACAAGCAATCAACCTCTATTCTGCCATTGGTACAATGTTTTCCAGATGGCGGATATCCCTCATTTTTTGTAAGTCAAAAATCTTGATTTTGATTACTTTATTTTGAAAAAAAAGATTGAGGAGCAAAACTTGCTTTCGAAAATGTTGAAAATTTCGATTTTGATGATTTCAGTCAAAACTTGTTTAATATCTGAACTTGCAGTCCACGGTTCAAACGCAGTTTAACAGCATGTTTCTGGCACATGAGAAACATGGAAAGGTCTTTGATTTTTCATGCAATGTTAGGTAACTTTGTTGGTTTTTATACACACTTAGTGAATTTTTGCTAGATAGCAAAACAATGCCTGTACCTTGTGTGGCATTGTTTTCATGAACATTGTAAAAAAGAAGTAATAATAATTAATTACCTTGACATATCATTAAACAAACTTTCTTGATATAGAAATGATCTTTGATTGCAGTGTAAACAACAACTCTCAACGGAATGTTGACAGAGATGCCAATTGCTCCGGACACGCCAAAATAATTAAAAAAACGGGAAATAACTACAAACCAAATTTTGCAAATATCTGACTATTTTTGCTTGTTTTTTTAAAAGGTATAGCATGACATAACTACTATAAAGTGGTGGATTATATAAGCCGGCAAATTATTTAGAAATAGTGGTGGATAAAAATCCACTAAATTGAACTTATTAAACCAAGAGTCACAATTGATAAACTACCACTTTAAAATATTTATTTGCTGTCCGGAGCAAGTTGGTATCTCTGTGTTGAAAACGTCTGATCTGAGACACGTCAATAATTGTTTTGACAAAAGAAACAAGTTAATAAGAAACGAAAAATGGAGCACTGTACTCGTCACCAACAGAAGTAAAGTGATTTGTAAAACAAATTGTAAAAAGTGCGGGATTCTATGACACCAGTAATTGATAAAACGTCAATTGAGGGAGGAAATTCCTTTTAATTATTCCCAGAAAGCAGATAAGGAGAGAATACACAGCTACTAATAAAAAAGGGATGAACAAGTGTCTAGTTTTTCAGGATTTGGAAGTTATATAATGCAGAGGGTCAATAAAATGATCCCCACGCATCCTCCCAGGAAATGCCTCCTTTGTTCTCATTAACTCCAATAATAGAGTAGAGCTTTAAAACTTCATTTTCCGTGACTAATATAAAATTTTGTATAGTTTTATCCACATTTTTTTCATAAGTGTATAAAATGAGTAGCTTAACCAAAATTTAAATATTACCATAAGTAGTTTAACAAGAAGCTAAATTTTCTTCCACCAAAAATAACTTAAAAAAAAAAATATTTTAATCTTTTTTTTAAAATTAATGCATTAATTTCTCTTTTTTTTTCAGTAATCAAGAATTTTCTCGTCTTTAATAGCGGTAAAAAACAAGTTTTTCTTTTAATCTAATTATTATAAATTAAAATTGACAAATTAATTTTAAACTAGTTAATTATTAAATCATTCTTTATGAATCATCAATAACTTTATATATTTTACATAATAATCTATCAAACGCAATTTCATAAATTGAAGAAAAATATCTTTACTGTCCCTTCATCATTCAATAAAATAATAAATAAATAAAATAAGTAATCTAATAAATAAATTAAAATATGAACAAATATATAAAGAAATATCAAACAAATAAATACGAAATATAAAACAAACAAATAAGAAAATTGGAATATGTCGTAAAAGAATATTAAAATATCAATCTTTGAAATATTTATTTTTATTTATTATCGCAAGAAAACAAATATGCTAGTTGTAAATTCAAAAAATCTTCGAGCAAAAAGTAACTAAC